GAGTACTTGGCTAGCGTGTGTGAGGGCCTAGATTTGACCCCCAGTAACACGCACACACACACACAGTTCTTGTGAATCCTTCTAGACTCACTTGGTACAGACATATGGGTACATGGGTATCTTAAAAAAAATAAAACACACTGCCAACAGGATCATTCGGGTACTTTCTCTTTTCATTTATCCAAAGTCATGGGCATTTTTCATATTAATACATAGAGGAGCAACCTTTCAGGGGCTGCAGAATATTTCCGTGTGTTATGACCCATGCTACATACGGTCTCGCAGGTATCTGATAGCTCACACTCCCTCCACCTCCTTGCCTCTGTGACAGAGCCCCGATAGTCACAGCTCTGGGCTGAAGGAAGGCAGAGGCTCTGCCCTGCCCCTGGTCCCACCTCCCTCCCTTGGTCCTTTAGAACCCTTGGCAGGCCTAGAACTCAGGAGCAGGGGTGGGACCACGTTAGTCCAGGGGGTGGGGAAATGTCACCTAAGCCTAATCCCCGGAGGATGGCACAGAATGGCAGCCTCACCTCTACAGCTAGCTCCCATGTGATTGTGAGCACAACAGTTTCCTGCCCTGGAGCCTCAGTTTTCTCATCTGCAAAATGGGAGTCATCACTCCATCTCACAAAATGCTCACGAATAAGAGGCACTGTTATTATTATGGGGGGCGTCCTGGATACGGTGGAGGAAAGGGGTGGTGACTGATATTCCCCTATTCTCCCTTCCCAATTCTTGCGCAGGAAACACCTACATGATTCAGCGGAAGGACTGGGATTTATCTGAGTATAGTTACAAGGAGCCAGAGGACGAAGGAAACCTCTATATTGGTGAGTCCAGTGCTGGTGCTCGCTGGGTGACAGAAGGGGGAGGCAGCTCAGTCCCTAGCACCCTGTGCCTGGTGGAGGAGTGAGGCTAGGGTGCGGCTGTGGCATTTGATTCAACTTGCATGCACTTAGTGAGCATTACCTGTATGCCAGGGCCTGTACTGAGCTCCCAAATGCAAAGCCGCCACTCTTGGGGTTCTCAGTCCTATGTGCAGGCAGGACTGGGGGCGGGGAAGGGGCAGGGCCTCCGGGGCCTTGATGGAACCCCTTTGCCTCTTCCAGGATACTCAGTGCAGTTAGGCAAAGCCGTCCTGCACCCCTCAGACATCACCATTGTGACCGGAGCCCCTCGGCACCAGCACACAGGCGCCGTCTTCCTGTTGAGCCAGGAGGCGGGCGGAGACCTGCGGAAGAGGCAGGTGCTGGTGGGTGCACAGGTGGGCGCTTATTTTGGCAGTGCCATTGCCCTGGCGGACCTGAACAATGATGGGTAAGACTCTAGGGCATCCTCTGGGGTTGGGGGAAGAGGAGGGGTACATGGACACGGTCGGGGGAGGCAGGGAAGCTTTGCAGTCCCGCTGTTTGCGGGGCTTTGCTGTTTTGGGAAGTCTGCATGTTTGCGTGTCATATGCATGACACCCGCACGTGCCTGTCTGTGCCTGCCATTCTGATGGCTCCCGTGCACGTGGGCCATTTGGGTGTCATTTTTGCTTGCATGGCTTTCCTGTGACATGCATTTCCTATTTGATGGGCTTTCTGTGTCCTTCCCACGGCCCGTGGCCATGCGCTCTGCACAATCACGCCTGTGAAAGAAGGGCCATGACGCACACTGGGGCTGGCCTCACACTCCCCTCCCTCCTCTCCTTGTAGGTGGCAGGACCTCCTGGTGGGCGCTCCCTACTACTTTGAGCGCAAAGAGGAGGTAGGGGGTACCGTCTACGTCTTCATGAACCAGGCAGGCACCTCCTTCCCGGCTGAGCCCTCCCTCCTCCTCCACGGCCCGAGTCGCTCTGCCTTCGGCTTGTCTGTGGCCAGCATTGGTGACATCAACCAGGATGGATTCCAGGGTAGGCGCCAGCACCCCTCCCCCACTGGCTGAGTGCCAGCTGTGTACCAGGGTGGACAGATCCTGCATAGGCCCAGGCCAGGGCCCAGGTCTGGTTTGCTCAGAGCAGCCCTAGAGAGGAGAGGGGACAGGCGAGCTGGGGGACATCTTGGCGGGTGGACAAGTGGCTGAGAGTGTGCAGTGGACAGGAATGGAAGGGGGGCAACACACATGCAGATGCACTCAGATCTAGCTAGCGGGGTGGTGTCCGTCAGACAGGCCGGGGGTGGCATGGGGGTGAAGGTGGGGCGCTGAAAGCCAGGTGTGGAGCTGGGCAGTTTGGGTAACAGGACAGGGGTAGTGGACAACCAGAGAAAGTGTGGGAGCAGAGATGTGCTATAGCTTGATACCTTAAAAGATAATGCTGGAGGAAGAGGTGCAGGATGCAAGAGAGGCAGGGGAGGTAACAAGGTGAAGAATGTAGTATATATCGCCCCGGGCGTGCTAGCGCACACCTGTGATCACAGAGCTCTGGGAGGCGGAGGCAGGAGGTTTGCAAGGTGGAGCCCAACCTGGACAACTTAACAACTTAGTAAGATCCTATCTCAAAAGAAGAAATAAGAAAAGGACTGGGGACTAGCTCAGTGTGAAGGCCCAGGGTTCAATCTTCAGTACCACAATGAATGAATGAATGATAGGAGATGTAGGATGACAACGGCGGGAACAAGGTGGAGTCCTAAATAGCAAGGTTATCTCCAATGCTCTGTAGGACTTGGGGACCAGTCTCACCTGAGGTGCCATGGAGAGGGACAGGTGAGGGCCTGGTCCTAGCTGCCATGGGAGTGCTTGACTTATCCGGAAGTTGCTTTTCTGTAAACCTGTTTCCCAGGGCACAGCTAAGAACCAAGAGGAAGCAGGGGCCTCAGCAGAGGCAAAACGGTGCTGGGAAGTTCAGCCCACAAAGCCCACACACTCCCTACAGAGGGCCTTTGGTTTCTGCTTAGGACCACAGACTCTTGGCATGCTTCACTGGCAAGCTGGGCCTTGGGGTGCCAGGCCTGATCAGACCAAATGCATCGACAAGAAAGTCCAGTAATTTTCTTTTTTTTTTTTTTTGGTACCGGGGATTGAACTCGGGTCCTTGTGCTTGTGCAGCAGGTGGCGAAACCACTGAGCTAAATCCCCAGCCCAAAGTCCAGTAATGTTTAAGAGGAGCATAAAATGGTTTGGGTTTCTCATGGCAACAATAGAAGTCAAGTCCACTCTAGTGTCAGGATTAAAGTCTCAGCCCCAGACTTAGGCAGATGTGGGCTCAGACACCCTCCTCTCCTCTCACTCGTGCTGTGATTCTGGGTTTTCTGAGCCTGCTTCCTCATCTGTACACCGGGGACAAGAGTACCTACCCCACAGCACCCTTGGGAGGTTTAACAGATGAGTGCTGCTGGGTGTGGTGGAGCACACCTGTAACCCCAGCTCTTGGGAGGCTGAGGCAGGAGGATTGCCTCAAGTTCGAGGCCTGCCTCGGCTACATATTGAGTTCAAGGCTGGTCTGAACTAAATGGTGAACTCTTATCAAGAGAGAGAGAGAGAGAGAGAGAGAGAGAGAGAGAGAGAGAGAGAGAATCAGTGCTTTAATCAAAGGTGGTTGCCAGTGGGGACACTTCCTTTTCAGACCCTGCTGGTAAATGTCACAGAAGAACCAGGGTGTCCAGAGGAGACGGTAGGGGAGTGGAAAGGCAGTGGTCAGGGATCAGGTGTAGCTCGACTGTGGCATTGACTTGCTGTGTGACTTTGGGGAAGTCACTTCCCCTCTCCTGAACACCCTTTCCCGCCTGTAAAAGGAGCCAGGTGGCCCCCGGTGGTCTCAGTTTTTAACCCAGGGCTGCAGGACTCTGCTGTTTCCCCAGTGCTCTGAGCACTGCCTGCAGGCCGAGGTCAGGGCCTTGCTGGGTTAGGGAGTTGTGTGGGGCCTGCAGTCCGTGCGTGACCCTGCCCTGCCTCTCCTCCCCAGACATTGCTGTGGGCGCCCCATTCGAGGGCCTGGGCAAAGTGTACATCTACCACAGCAGTTCCGGCGGGCTCCTCAGACAGCCCCAACAGGTATGGACGCAGGGGGTCATGGCTGCTGCCCCCACATGCTGAGGTGGGCCTTCCTTCCTTTGCCCATTCCGCTGGGACCTGCTCCCTAGAGCCTACCCCACGGCCTGTCCCCCCCATGTCCCCCATCCCCAGGTAATCAGCGGAGAGAATCTGGGACTGCCTGGCTTGGCCAGCTTCGGCTACTCTCTGAGTGGGCAGGTGGACGTGGATGACAACCTCTACCCAGACCTGCTGGTAGGGAGCCTGTCGGACCACATCGTGCTGCTTCGGTGAGCCAGGAGGGCACCGGATGGGGCCCCGCCCCTCCGTCCCGGTCTGTATAGAGTCCCGTCTCTTTCTGTCTTCTGCACCAGGTCCAGGGAAGCCTTCAGTCCAGGAGGCACTGATATCTGCCTGGTTCTGTTGTCTCTGCAGGGCCCGGCCCGTCATCAACATCCTCCACAGGACTTTGGTGGCCAGGCCAGCTGTCCTGGACCCGGCACATTGCACGGACACCTCCTGGTGAGACTCAGCCCCTGCTCTCCTTACCCACTCCTCGTGGTTGAGCAGGCCAGGAGGCGGCCCAGCTCCAAGCCCTTCCTCTGGCCACCCCTGATACCCGACCTTTAGAGCTTTTATTCTGGGGCCAGCACTGGCCACCCTCACTGAAAATAACGATTCCTTGCAGGAGCCGATGGGTAAATCGGGGGCTGTAGAGCCCAGTGGTTGGGAACGGGAGCTCTGGCCCTCCTGGGTCAAGCCCCAGCATTGTAGGGCCAGAGAGGGTACTGTGTGGACTCTGGTCCCAGAGGGAGAAGGGAGAGGAGTGCACTTAGGTGGATGTATGTGGGGAAGCGGGGAGAGCCTCCTTGGGGAATTATGAATCTCCCATGTCTCAGACTTCTTTCCTGTAAAAGCATTAATACCCATTTCACAGAGCTGGTGATAATTAAATGAGATAACGCACAAAACGTTCCTAGCATGGCACTTGGTATACCTTAAGTGCTCAAAAAATGTTAGTTGCTAAGAAAGTGACGACCATGATGGCAGTGAGGCCCAGGTCTTTATGTGATGACATTGGGTGAAGGCACAGGGAAATAAGTCAGGGAAGCAGGGGGGGCGTGGTGAAAGGAGATCCCAAGACCTGGGTTCGAGACTGGGCTGAGCCACCTGCCCATCTGCTCTCTGGGCCTCAGTTTCCCCACTGGTGACCTCTAATCTTGCTTTCTTAGCTCTATTGGGAATGAGAAGGAAGGGGCCAGGGAGAGCTTAGGCTGGTTTTGCGGACACCCCGGTTTTTTCTTTCCTGTCCCCAGAAAGGCCCTAGGTTCCCTTTCCGTCTTACAGGAGCCAGTTAGGGCACAGTCCCCATGTCCCCCTGTGACCAGGTCCTCCTGTCCATCCCCCCAACAGTGTGCAGGTGGAGCTATGCTTCGCTTACAACCAGAGCGCCGGGAACCCCAACTACAGGCGCAACATCAGTGAGTGCCGGGCGCAGGGCGAGGGGGAGCGTGCTCACCTGGCGCCTGCTGACTGCCCTGTCCATCTGCAGCCCTGGCCTACACTCTGGAAGCTGATCGGGACCGCCGCCCGCCCCGGCTCCGCTTTGCCCGCAGCCAGTCAGCCGTCTTCCACGGCTTCTTCTCCATGCCCGAGATGCGCTGCCAGACACTGGAGCTGCTCCTGATGGTGAGGGGAGAGCAGAGGCAGGAGGGGCCCCAGGACCCCGGGAGGAGGTGACCAGTGTCCCCCCCAGGTCAAGGGTGAGGGACAAGGGACGCCCCAGAGACAGGTTGGAACACTGTAGGTCCGATGAGCAAGAGGAAGTACAGTGCACAACACCCAGCATGTGGCAGGGGAAAGATAAGACCCTGGCAGTGAGGGGTGTGGGAGCTCACCTCTGGGGAAAGCGTCCCTCATTGGAACCTCAGAGGAGGGGAGGGGAGGCGAGAACTCACCTTGGGGACCCAGTGATGAAGGGAGGCCCAGTCCTCCACCACCCCACTGGGACCCCGCTGGGGCGGAGGTCAAGGTGGTAGAAAGACTCAATTTGTGGTCAAACTAGAGGGGGTTCAGCTTCTCCCCATGGCTCAGGGGCTGTGAAGATTCAACCCGGGGAAGGGCAGTGCAGGGCCTGGCTCAGCTGGCCTTTGCTCCCCAGGATAACCTCCGCGACAAACTGCGTCCCATTGTCATCTCCATGAACTACTCATTACCTCTGCGGATGCCCGAGCGCCCTCGGCTGGGGCTTCGGTCCCTGGACGCCTACCCGGTCCTCAACCAGGCACAAGCTATGGAGAACCGCACAGAGGTGGGCGATCCAAGGCCAGGAGGGCTGTGGGCTGAGAGGTTGCTGTCAAGGTCCAGCCCCTCATGCCCCCGACTGTCCTCAGGTCCAGTTCCAGAAGGAGTGCGGGCCGGACAACAAGTGTGAGAGCAACTTGAAGATGCGGGGGGCCTTTGTGTCTGAGCAGCTGCAGCGGCTGAGCAGGTGGACACTATGCTAAGAGGCACTGATTGGCCAAAGGCGTGGCAGGGTCCCATTGGCTAACAGGACTTGGGGGCTGGATCTCACCAGTCAGGGCAGGGCCTCATTGGCCAATAGGACTTGGGGGCAGGAGCTCGTGGATAGGCAGAGCTTTCTCCAGCTGAGACAGCAGGGTGGGGGCGGTGGGGCCCACTGCTGGAGAAGACCCCCAGCCTGGTGGATCTGCTGCATACCCTAGGGGAGGGGCTTTTAGCTCAATCCAGGGCTCCTTCCTCAGGCTCCAGTACAGCAGAGATGTCCGGAAATTGCTCCTGAGCATCAACGTGACCAACACCCCAAGCCCAGAGCGAGCTGGGGAAGATGCCCACGAGGCGCTGCTCACCCTGGAGGTGCCACCCGCCCTGCTGCTGTCCTCTGTGCGCCCTGTAAGTGCACACCAGCCAGGCTAAACTCAAGCAGAGCTCCCTCACTGATTTGCATGCCATATGCATGTCATTTGCATGTGCAATGTTTTGTTGTGCTCCCGCCTCCTCTAGGCTGGGCCTTCTCATGCCTGCAGAATTTCCCTGCTTGGGGGATCTGGTTCTCTGGCCTCCGGGGTTTCTGGAGAGACAAGCCCACAAGCCTGACACTGACCATCTTTATCTTTCTTCCTCAGCCTGGAGCTTGCCAAGCTAATGAGACCATCCTGTGCGAACTGGGTAACCCCTTCAAGCGGAACCAGAAGGTGAGCCCTGGGCCTGGGGCTGCTCCTCTGCCTCCCGGGCTGCCTTAAAGCCGGGGGTGTGTGTGTGTGTGTGTTAGGGGATGGGGGAGGCTTAGGCAACTTCAGTCATTTCCTCAAGGTTGTGCAAAAGTAGCAGAAGTCTGGAAAATAGCAAGGCTGTCACCCAAGGGAGAAAAGGGGGGGAGGGAGACGGGGATAAACTAGGTGAAGACCCCTCCCCTGGAATGGGGGCAAGAGGACACCAGGGAGCTGCCTCCCTCGCTGAGCGTTGGCCCTTCTCTTCCCCATGGTGGCACCCTGTGGGTCCCCAAATCCCCCGGCTACTTCCCTGTCCCTGGCGGCAGATGGAGCTGCTCATCGCCTTTGAGGTCGGCGGGGTGACTTTGCACACGAGGGACATTCAGGTGCAGCTGGAGCTTTCCACGTGAGTGGCTCAGCGAAGCCAGGCTGGCTGGGGCGGAGGTGGTGGCTGGGTCTCCTTCTGACCCCTGCACTCTCTCGCCAGGTCGAGTCACCAGGACAACCTGCGGCCCGTGACCCTGACACTGCAGGTGGACTACACGCTCCAGGCCTCGCTCAGCATGTGGGTGCTGCTCTGCTCCCCACCCTACCCCCAGCCTGCTGTGCCTGAGCCAGGGCCTCCCTGTCCCCAGGTGTCTCCTCTGGCCTCCACTTCCTCTGGGTCACCCTTCCCTAAAACACCATTAATGTTATTGTCCCAGTAGAGCAGGTAGGAGAGGAGGACTCACAGCACTGGGGCTAACATGTTGGTCCTTGCCCTTGTTTTTTTGGAGGTAGAACCCAGGGCCTTGTGTGTGTTCGGCAAGTACTCTACCACTGAGCTACATTCCCAGTCCTTTTTCCCTAAGTTGCCCAGGGTGGCTGCAGACTTGCAATCCTCCTGCCTCAGCCTCCTAAGTAGCTGGGATTATAGCTGTGCACCACTGCGCCGCATTTCAGCCATTTCTTGAACACTCGTGTGCTAAGGATTTTGTATACATCATCTCTTTGACTTCTCCCAACTGCCCTGTGTTGTACCAACTATTACGCACTCCACTTTACATATGAGGAGACAGTCTCAGAGAGGATGAACTTACTGAGGCCACGGGTGAATGGCAGAGCTGGGATTTCTGCCTGACATCAGAGGAGCTGTGGGTTACCAGTCTTGGTGCCCACCCCCTCTGCCAGGGCTCAGCCTCCTGCCCACATGACTCAAACACTTTTCCTACTCCTAGGGTGAATCACCGGCTGCAAAGCTTCTTTGGTGGCACCGTGATGGGTGAGTCGGGCATGAAAACTGTGGAGGACGTGGGAAGTCCCCTCAAATACGAATTCCAGGTAAAGGCGCCTTTGAGGTTCTGGCTGGGGGCCTCTGGGAAAGGAGTTGGGGTTTGTTCTGGGTCTGGGGTCCGAGGGTGGGAGGTAGTTTTTCAGAAGACAATAACCATGACACCTCTTGTGCCCACAGGTGAGCCCTGTGGGGGAGGGGCTGGCAGCCCTGGGGACCCTGGTGCTGGGTCTGGAATGGCCCTATGAAGTCGCCAATGGCAAGTGGCTGCTGTACCCCACGGAGATCACCATTCATGGCAATGGGTCCTGGCCCTGCCAGCCTGCTGGAGACCTGGTCAACCCTCTTAACCTCACTCTCTCTGTACGTTCACCGGCAGGATGCTTCATTTGCATCTCATTTGCATGTCATGGGGCAGGCAGAAAAGCCAGTGTCTTTTCCTCCCTTCCCTCGTGCCCTTTGGGAGGCTGACTCACCCCGCTTCCCCCCTCCTACTCCTGCTCCCAGCTCTTCCTGTGCCTTCCCAGCAACTCTCTTCCCCCTTCAGGACCCGAAGAACAGGCCACAGCGCAGGCGGAGAGAGCTAGACCCTGGAGGAGACCAGGGCCCCCCTCCCATCACTCTGGCTGCGGCCAAGAAAGCCAAGTCTGAGACTGCACTGGTAAGTGGCCAGGGGAGGGCGGTAGAGTATGAATGTCACCACTGCCAGGTTCAGGGCACCCAAGGGTGCACAGAGACCCAGGCTGATGAGGCAACGTGAGCCTCACCCTTGGGAGCCTTCAGACTGGGGGAGACTCATCTCCTGCCCTCAGTGCCCCACTCTGATGGGGGAGTGGGTCCCCAACAGTGGACCAACGCAGCGGATGCTGGCTGTGCTCCAAGGAGCCCCAGCACTCAGAGCCTGGTCACAAGGGCTGGGAGCGGGCAGGGCAGAAGGCTGAGCCAGGGCGCCCCCTGTGGGAGGAAGAGGGACAGGCCTGGCTGGGTGGAGAGGTAGAGGGTGGTATCCTGGGGAGAGGGACTTGGGGGCCTCGTTCACATGCCAGGGACTAGGATTTATGTTATCCATCTTCCTGGCATCACATGGACTTGGCCCAAAGAGTGTGTCTTGAGAGCGGGGGATGTACATGAGTGACAGAGTGAAGTCAGGGCCCTTTGGGTCACTAGGGGTGGGACAAAGTCTAAGACTGATGAAGGGTAGGGAGCAAAGCATGAAGACTTTGGAGACTCAGACTGGCTCCTGTCTTGTGTTTCCTGCCCACCTCAGAACTGTGCCACTGGCCGTGCCCGCTGTGTATGGCTGGAGTGCCCCCTTCCTGATGCCACCTTCACCACCAACGTGACCGTGAGGGCTCGCGTGTGGAACAGCACGTTCATTGAGGTGGGTGCTGGGTGCTGGAGGGAAAGAGCAGAACCAGGAGGGTCCTGTGACTCTGTGCCAGACTCTCGTGCCACGCTTGAGTGAATGAGTGAGTGAATGGTGTATGTGTGGGTGTGCAGAGGAGAGGCCCAGCTGACCCTTCCTTTGGGGGTGCTGCTTATGGCTGCTGCCTGGCAGGAGGGGAAGGGGGTGGGTGCTTAGGGTCCAGAGAGAGACTCAGGGGGGCTTCAGCTGCTCCCTTCATCCACACTGCCCGCTTCTAGGATTACAGAGACTTTGACCGAGTCAAGGTAGATGGCTGGGCCACTCTCTTCCTGCGAACCAGTGTCCCCTCCCTCAACATGGAGAACAAGACCACATTGGTAAGTGTGCATGTTGACGAGGACAGCAGGCTGTGCCCAGGCACAGGGCACAGGGCATTTTTGGAGAGCATGTTGTCACCTGGAGCTGTATGCTTCTCCACCTTGGGACATGTTGGACTTGCCTGGAGGCCTTCTGGTGGCTGGATATGCCCCAGAGTGTCTGAGTCTGTGTCTCTGGGGTGGAACCACAGTACCCTGTGTGACCCTGATGTGCAGCCAGGGTTGAGAGCCACCGCCTGAGCTCATTCAGTCTGCACAGTGGCTCCAGGAAAAAGAGGGCTGGGGTTGTATCTCTGTTTAGGGATAAAGAAACTGAGGCCCAGAGAAACTGAGTGGGCTTCCCAAAGTGGCA